GAGAGGCTGAGGCAGGAGGATCACTGTGAGTTCAAGACCAGCCTGGGCTACATAGTGAGTTCCAGGGCAGTCTCAACTACATAGTGAGACCCTGTCTCAAACCCCCCCCCAAAAAAAGTTTAAGGGCCCAACCAGCAAGACCCCACCCATTGCAAGGGTACAAAACAAATCTTTCATTTGAGAAGGGAGTCCCTGGCTTATCTGCTCATTCAGGGTTGCCTAGGGAAATGTCTACCCAAGTTCAGACATCCACTTAGAGGCTGCTATACTGACATCCCAGGGAAATGGCTACTACTTAAACTGGCATCCGCCCTTGGCATCACTTACATGGTGTTGGTTTTACAACATGCAGACTGTAGGAGTTATGGGGTCATGGATATTTCCACCTAGAATTAGAAGACGGACTGTGGGATGCCAGGCAATGTGCCCCTGAGACATCAACGTGTGCAGTTCTGAAAGTGAAGCCAAAAGTGCAGTGGAGACCTGGTATGGCGTGTATCAAGATATCCCTTCAAAGCCTTATGCCCTCACAGGTGGGGCTTTTCAGAGGTGGCTGGTTCTAGGGTGTGTGATGTTGTGATTAAATTGCATGATGGTGGAATTAAAGTGTGTGATGTTGAGACTAAGGGTGCATAATTACTAAATTAATCCACTGATTGGTTAAGTATAGTTCTCTGTGTGGATAATGGGAAGGCTTACCCTGGGTATGGGTGGCAGCATCCAAAATATGGGTGGTCTGGAAGGGATGAAAGGGAGGCTTCTGCCTCATTCTTTATTGTCTTCTGCTACAAACTACTTTTCCTCTGTGATGCCCCCCTGCCATGCTGTCCTGCCTTGATGCTAGCCAACTATGGACTGAAACCTCTGCCAAATCTAGCTTCTTCCTTTAACTTTGGGTGTCAGATATTTTGTCTCAGCAACAAGACCCCAGGAAGTTAGAGATGACAGGAATGTGGAACATCCACGGAGTATAAAAACAGGCATGGTGGTACACGCCTGCAATCCCAGCACTCGGGAGGCTGAGGCACGATTGCCTTGAGTTCAAGCCCAGTTTGAACTACACGGCAAGACCCTCTCTCAAAAATAAAATAAAGTAAAAATAAAAGCAGGAAACATGCAGAGAGAGCCCAAAAGGGGTGCAACTGGCAAGGCCATAGGGGTGGGGCTGGTAAGTCCTTTGGAGCTCATATTTTACCATAACCTGCCCTGGATGCTGAACAAGAACTACATGATTTAATGTTTCCTCTACTTGTTCTTGCTATGGGATGATTTGTCTGTTCTTCTGCTTCCTTTTGGAATGAGAATGCTTACTCTGTGCCATTGTGTGTTCAAACTGTTTTAATTTTCTTTCTGATTTTTACAGGGGGTTATAGCTAAAACTCTTCCTTGAGTCTCAGTGGAGACTTTGTACGTGACCTTTTTTAGCAGTGCTGGAAACGTTAAGACTGGTGACTTTTTTTTTTTTTTTGGTACCAGGGATTAGGGTTGGAATCAGGACCTTACGCTTGGCAGGCAGGCACTGTGCCGCTGAGCCACATCCCCAGCCTGACTTTAGTGACCTTTAAGAGCTGGACTTAATGTATTCTGCATGAGATGGACATGAGCTTTTTGAAGGTCAGCTTGGAATGTTATGGTTTAAGATTTAAAATGATGCCCTAAGTCTCACATATGGAGGTGGGGCTTGGTCAGAAGGGGCAGATCAGGGACTTAATTAATTAATTAATTAATTTTTGGTTTTTTGAGAAAGGGTCTCACTATGTAGTTGAGACTGCCCTGGAACTCACTATGTAGCCCACGCTGGTCTCAAACTCACAGCGATCCTCCTGTCTCAGCCTCCCGAGTGCTGGGATTACAGGTGTGTGCCACCACGCCCGGCTCGGGAACTTAATTTAGAAGGGTGTATTCTCATCTTCAGTTCCTCCCTTCTCTGCTTCCTGGCCCCCATGTGGTGAATAGCTTCTCACTGCTATGCAATTTTTGCCTTGGAGTCAGCCAACCATGGACCAAATCCACTGAAACTGTGAGCCAAAACAAACTTCTATTTTAAGTTGCCAATGTCCGGTATTTTGTCTTACCTACGGGAAAGTAATTAATAAAGACCAAAAATCAGACTTCCTCACTTCCTGTCCAGTGTTTCTACAGCACAACTGCACAATGCTTTTGTTTTTAGTACTGGGGATCAAACTTGGGACCTTGTGCTTGTGAGGCAGGTGGCAAAACCACTGAGCTAAATTCCTGGTCCTGCAAATGTATTCCTATCCAGTCTCATATAACTTGACAATCTGCCAGAGTAACTTTCAAATCAATTTTTTACTACCAATATGGAATTACCTACTTACGAAGTATTCACTGAGGCAGGCAAAGTGGCATACATCTATAATCCCAGCACTAAGGAGGTTGAAACAGGAGGATTGCTGCTAGTTTAAGGCTAGCCTGGGTCACATACTAAGTTCAAGACCAGCCTAAAACTACAGTGAGATCCTGTCTCAAAAAAAAAAATTAAAAAGAAAATCTGGGGATATAGCTCAGTGAAAATGCCTTGGGTTTAATCCCTACTGCTTGCCCCACGAAAAAGAATTCACTGACTGGGACAAAAAATGTAGATCAATTATTAAAAACTGTCATTCATCGCCTTTTCTGGGTTTTTTTTTTTTAAGAAAAGGCCTTGGTATGGCATTTAGGCTAGCCTAGAACTTATGTGTAGCCAAGGCTGGCCTCAAATTTGCAGCAATCCTCCCTCAGCCTCCAGAGTGCTGGGATTGTAGGTGTGCATCCCCAGGCCCAGCATGGGCTGTTTTTACTAATGTAACACATTATATTAATCAAGCACCACATATGGATTCCTAGAAGAATGTACCTCGATCTAGAAATACTTAAGAAAATTGTCCTCCCAGTTGGGAATGGTGACACATGCCTGTAATCCCAGTACTCAAAGGTTGAGGCATGAGGATCAATGCGAGCTCAAGATCAGCCTGGACTACACTGTGAATTTCAGGTCTGCCTGAACTACATAACAAGACTGTGTCTCAAAAAACTAAGACTCTTCCCAATGAATAGAATTATAATTTCAAAATGAAATATTCTAATTTTGCAATTCTTAAGTGTTTATTCTTTTTTCTTTATTTCTGAGACAGGGTCTTGCTATGTAATTCAGGCTGGTCTTATATTCACTGTGTAATCCAGGTTGGCCTCAAACTCATGGTGATCCTCCTACCTCAGCCTCCCAAGTACTGGGATTACAGGCATGCCCCTTCAATATTTTAAATTGATCTCTCTTTAGATGGTAATGAAAAACTCAGAATTTAGGTTGTAAAAGTTTTATTGATAAGGTCAAAGAGCAAACAGCCAGACATTTGGTTATCTTTGCCACTATAATGTGTCATTTTGAATAGAATCTTAAAAATGCATAATAAATGATATTTAAACAATTATTAGAAAAGTAAATTAAGAGTCTACTTAAGGCACTTCAGATAAAAGCTAATCAAAATTTCTACAAATATAACCCGAGTTTAAGTGTAGTAAGTCTACTCCCCCAGATTTTAGCCAGAATGCTATCTTTCCCCTTACAGAAGAAGAAAATTAGTGCTCTTAAAAGGGATCTTTCAATGACCATGACAAATTATCTGGAGCTACACAGATCATATGGCAGTAGAATTCCCCTGGTCCATCAGTATAAATCAGGGCATCTTCATACACATCTCATAAGAATCACAGCATGAATTATTTGGCCTGAGACAAGTACAAGAATAGTAGATAAGGAGCCCAGAACTTTTCACTTTACAGGGGAATGATTAACAAAAAGTGGCTCCATTAAAAAGTAAAAGGTCAACTGTATCCACCTAACCAGCAAAAGTAATAAAAATAAAAACAAAAATCCACATAAAATATTTCTTCTGAGGCAATTATATCAATCTCCTTCCATAAACCTCTGTTATATAAAACTTCTATACTTCATGGGAAGGTTATTAGATGGTGAATAGCAGGGAGCAGTCACAGTACCCTATACTTCTATACAGTATCCAATACTTCTAAGATTCCCTTAATATATTTTTCACAACTACAATTCTTATTGCCAGAATGCTATCTTTCCCCTTACAGAAGAAGAAAATTAGTGCTCTTAAAAGGGATCTTTCAATGACCATGACAAATTATCTGGAGCTACACAGATCATATGGCAGTAGAATTCCCCTGGTCCATCAGTATAAATCAGGGCATCTTCATACACATCTCATAAGAATCACAGCATGAATTATTTGGCCTGAGACAAGTACAAGAATAGTAGATAAGGAGCCCAGAACTTTTCACTTTACAGGGGAATGATTAACAAAAAGTGGCTCCATTAAAAAGTAAAAGGTCAACTGTATCCACCTAACCAGCAAAAGTAATAAAAATAAAAACAAAAATCCACATAAAATATTTCTTCTGAGGCAATTATATCAATCTCCTTCCATAAACCTCTGTTATATAAAACTTCTATACTTCATGGGAAGGTTATTAGATGGTGAATAGCAGGGAGCAGTCACAGTACCCTATACTTCTATACAGTATCCAATACTTCTAAGATTCCCTTAATATATTTTTCACAACTACAATTCTTATATTTTCATAATAGTGGCAGTTTAGGTTAGTCTTCACAGTTAGATGTAATGATAACCATGAAAATATTCCTCACAGAAACTTGGTTAACACATATGATTATTACAACTGTCAAGAATAAAAGGATGAAGTTCAAACAAAACCTTTTCAAAGTTTCACTTTGTTTCTCCACTTATTTTGGAGATGGGGTCTCACTATCTCGCCCAGGCTGACCTCAAATAATCCTCTGCTGGATATGATGGACCCTGCCTATAATCCAACACTTTGGAGGGTGAGACAGGAGGATGTAGGGTTTGAGTTGGAGGCCAGCTCGGACTATATAGCAAGAATCTGTCTCAAAAAACTAAAGCAGGGCCAGGGATTTGGCTCAGTGGTTCCGCTGCCTGCCTTACAAGTGCAAGCACTCGAGTTTGATCCCCAGTACCAAAGCAACAACATCAAAAACCAAAGCAAACTAAAAACAAACAACCTGTCCCCAAACATCTTCCTACTTCAGATCATTAAGTATCTGGGAGCATCTGGGACAGGTACATGCGACTGTGCTGGCTTTCTCTACTTAACAAGAGAGGAAAAAAGGCTAAAGTCATAGCAAAGATAGAATAAACCAAGAAACATTCAATTTCTGTACACAGGTAACAAATGATTTTTTTCCTATTTCAAGGAAATCCTTTTCCTAAACACAACTGAGCCTACTGAGACTATTTCTTCTGTTAGGTAAAAAAGGAAACAAATGTTAATCTTCAAATTTTAGAAACATTGTAGAACATAGAATATAAGTTACAATGTCTTTTTTTGTTGCAAGATAGGGTGCTGGCTTTCAACTTACTGAACTGGCCTCAAACTCACAGGGATTTGAGACAAGATCTTGGTATGTAATTCAAACTGGCCTTGAACTCATGGTTGAACTTCCTGCCTCAGCCTCCCAAGTACTGGGATTATAGGGGTGTGTGCCACTGCATCCAGATGACACTGACTTTTAGCATTAATGTATATTATTATTAGAGATATGTCATTTTAAATAAAAGGAAATTAAGGGTATAGGATGAATCTGAAGTCTTTCCAAATACAAGGTAGTGAACACTATAGACATGCAGAAATTATAATTCTATATTTAGATATTTTTAATATTTGCAGCTATCAAGAAGCATAGATAGCACTGTATTTCAGTAGAAATGATGCAGAAAGAAGATTGACTAATCTTTCTAAAGGCTAGATCTGTATTTTCAAGAATAATGTTCCAGTTTCAAAAGACCATAAAGTACATATTTCTCAGTCCACAAGGAAAAATGTGTAAAATATACACATCCATGCAAACATAGAAAAGCTAAGAATGAATTACTGATGCAGTTATCTGTAGCATGGATATGTGGGAATACTTGGTCAGAACTTTTATTCCCCACTTTGGAAAAGAATATAAAATCAGATAATCAAAATGTTAACTGAAATAGTAGTGAGCTTTGTTCTAATTAAAATGTAGTAGTTTTAAACTTTATAATGTACTTACTTATACAAAATTAAATGTTTTATAAAACTGGGAAGGGAAGTTTAAGAAGAGAGTGATTTTTAAATACTTCACGATTTTGACAAGAAATTGCTTGTTAAGGCACTACACATCTTTGGTTAAATGATCAACTATTTAAATCACTTGAAAAAAAGAGGTAATATAAAATACACAAATTGCATTCTTCTTTTCAAATACACACATATTTGTTTTTCAGTTTCCATTACCACAGTGTCTACAAATCTCTGGAATTCTTTTTAACTCATCAGAAAGCTGAAACAAAAATATATACGAATTTATTAGTCTTTGAAAGAAAAGGCTTCTAATAAATACGTAGTATGGTGATTTTTAACAGCACTCTAGCACATGTATGATAATATGAATATCAACAATAAAATATGAGAAACACCAAGCAACCAGGTAGTTTCACAGCAAAATAAAATAGACATAACCTCAAGTTAAAACATCTCCTGAATGGAAACACTAATAACTGAATCAACTGTGGTGATCAAATAATTATTAATTCTGTTAGAAGTTACAGAAAAATTATTCTTATATACCAATCAGTAGTTTAGAGGCCAAATCATTTTAAAACACATATATACAAAAGAATAAAAGTATAAATTAATTAAATATTGGTACTATGTGTACATATATACACATATACACAAACGTATAGATATTAGAAACAGGGTCTTGCTATGTGATTCAGGTTGGCCTTAAACTCAGTTATTCTCCTGCCTCAGCCTCCTGAGTGCTGGAATTACAGTGGTGCATCACTATGCCTAGCTTTATAGACTATATTGAACCCAGAGCCTTTTTGCACTGAGGTACATCCTCAGACTTCCTTCTTTCCCTACTTTCTTTTTTTGAGACAGGTTCTCACTATTCAGTTCAGGCTGACCTTGAACTAACTATGTAGCCCAGGTTGCCCTTGAATTTGTGGCGATCGTCCTGCTTCACCCTTCCAATAGCTTGGACTACAGACATGTGCCCCCATACCTGGTTTTATTTTTTATTTTTTTATTTTTTGGTACTGGGGATCAAACTCAGGTCCTTGTGCTTGCGAGGCAGTTGCCAGAACCACTGAGCTAAATCCCCGGCCCTGTGTTTTATTTTTTAATCTGCCTACCTTAGCCTCTAAGTGCTGGGATTACAGGTGAGTGCCACCAGGCCCGGCATAAAAGCAAAGATTTAGAAGATTACAAATCAAGAATCAGGGTCCTAGGAGGTTTCTGTTTAAAATTAAATTCAAAGCCAGGCACAGTGGTGCCTCAGCTTCCCTAGTAGCTGGGGCTATGGGCACACCTGGCTTCAGTAGACCGTCTTAAACGTTCTTTTTTGTTTTTGTTGTTGTTGTTGCTGTTGTTTTGAGACAGGGTCTCTCTTTGTAGTCCAGGCAGGTCTTGAACTATATAACCCTGGCTAGCCTTGAAGTCACAGTTACCCTCCTGTCTCAATCTCCTGAGTGCTAAGATTACAGGCCTGTACTACCATGCCTGGATTGTTTTATTTTCTTGAGAATATAGATTGTTTTTAATTTTTATTAGTACATATTTATCCCCTTTTAGTTTTTTTTTATTAGTGCACATTTGTTGTTGTTGTTTTTTTTTTTTTTTTTTTTTTGGTACCGGGGATTGAACTCAGGTCCTTGCGCTTGCAAGGCAGACCACCGAACCTCTGAGCTAAATCCCTGGCCTTTTTAGTGCACATTTGGAGTAATGTTTACATTCATATTAGGGAATAGGCACATACACGTTATATCTTTATTCTTTTTATTCCCTTTCTTCTCTCCACCTGCCTCCCTCCAACTCTGGATCTCCTTTCCCCATTTTCTTCATCATCATCATCATCATCATCATCATCATCATCATCATCATCATCATAGTTCATGCCTGACAAAATAAATGCCTGACATTTATTTATTTTGCTTTTTTTTTGAGACAGGGCCTGGCTGTGTAGTTCAGGCTGGCCTTGAACTCACTATGTAACCCAGGCTGGCCTCAAACTCATGGCGATCCTCCTGCCTCAACTTCCCAAGTTCCTCAGTCTCCCGAGTGCTGGGATTATGGGTGTGTGCTACATGCTCAATGTCAGTGACATTTAAAAATTATGTTAACTGTGGGTAGCTGGTAATGTACAGGATACACATTAAATCTTTTGCCCTTTCCACTCTCCCTACCTTTAGTCTCTTGGTCCCCTTCCCCTTTCTGAAAGATCTATCTCCCTATTTCCTTTTACAATCTTTTATTTTGGTCTTTATTTGTACTTTGGATTATTTTTAAAGATAAGTTCTCCTTATGTACTCCATGCTAAACTGGAACATTTACTCCTCCTGCCTCAGGCTCTTGCTAAATTCTTAAACTTTCTACAAACTGGCTTCTGGCTTAAAATCAAATGTTCTTTTATGTTATCTAAACTAGCCTTGAAGGGAAGTAAATTTTAAAAATATTACAAAATCATCTGTTCCTCAAGAGGAAATGTAAGAATATATGTGTATGATATAAAATGCTCTAATCATTATGTGTTATTATAGATTTCCAGGTTTAATTAGGTGACATCAGAATAACCCTAAAAGGTGTTTGGGTAATCACACACACTAGTATTGTCTATTATTCCATAATTAAATTAATTTTACATATATCTAAATTAAACTTTCTTTGGTCTTAGAAACCAGAATAGTGCAAAAGCAATGCAAAAGAAAAAAACATAAAGCCACATTAACTGTGATCATTGTAAGTAGAGGTAATCACTACAGAAATAAGATTCATACCTGTATGGATATCCATGATATTTAGATCTGAAAATAGAGAGCATCCAACTGAAGAATAACACAACAAGTCCAATACCAGCTACACACATTACTGTAGAAAAAGAAAAGGAGAGTAAAACAAGCAGGTTAAGTGTAATAAATGGCACAAATCATACTCCACATGTCCAAAGAGTAAAAATTTACTAATAAATTTCTAACAGTTTTCTATCTCCCTATTTTACTCTTCCAGGGTATGCCTTGCCTTCTAATTTAAAGTTTTCCATTACAATATAACAGAATAATTCCATTTATATACTGTACAATTAAAAAGTAATTAAAGATATGACACTTGAGAATTTAGTGTTACCCAGGTGTGACTTGGGAGAGGTAGATGCAAGAAACTCTTGAGTTGGAGGACAGCCTAGACTACATAGTGAGAAAAGAAAAAGAAAGATTAAGGGCTGGGGGTGTGGCTCAGTGGTAGAGCACTTGCCTAGCATGTGCAAAGCCCCTGGGTCTGATTATTAGCACTGGGCAAAAAAGTGGAGGGCATTTATTGGGTATTTTTGTTTTGAGACAGGGTCTCACTGTGCAGTTCAGGCTGGCCTTGAACTCTCACTATGTAGTCTAGGCTGGCCTTGAACTCATGGCGATCCTCCTGCCTCAGCTTTCCAAGTTTGGGATTACAGGTATGCACCACTATGCCTGGCTCTTTACTATATTATTAATAAATATTACTTAAAGACACCTGGAAACATCATTTCAATAACCTTACTTGAAAGCACTTTATTCATGCACCACTAACCACAGAACCTTAAAAAACTTGTTGAACACAAATCCTCATTTGAATAATGAAGACAAATCCTGATTTTTGTCTCAAATTCATAGCTTTCTCTACTAATCCCACATGCTCTAGTTTAGCAGAGTAGTTATTAACCTGAATTCACATATTGACCTCACATGACTTAAATATAAATTTTCAGCACTCGTTGATTCTCTTGACTAAGACTGGCTCAGTGGTATAGATATAAGGATGTGAGACTGCATGTGTACAACATCGATAAAAGCACTAGGAAGTCATACTTTAGTGACCAATATTAAAAGCAACCAACTCAATGAGAGAAAACAAAACAAACCTTCCTTGGGATGTAGGAGCACATGCCTGTAATCCCAGGACTCGGAGAGGCTGAGGCAGGAGAATTTCAAGTTAGAGCCCAGCCTGGGCAATTTAGTGAGACCCTATCTCAAAATAAAAAAATGGACTGGGGATATAACTTAATGCAAAGGCCCTTGGTTCCATCCCCAGTACCACAAAAACAAAACCTAAATCTTCAATTTTGTCACATTTAGGGAAGAATTCCTTTTTCTTTCCAGTTTTCACATAATATGAAAAATTATAGGGGCTAAATGTAAATGTTAAGCAATATTTTCCCCAGTATTAACACAAGCTCAATTTATAAGAAAAAGGGTTTTTTCCCTGTTTTTCATATTTCGGCTTTTTTGAGACAGGGTCTCACGTAGTTCAGTATGGTCTTGAAGTCACTATGTAGCCCAGGCTAGCCCTGAACTCCCAGAAATCCTGCTTCAGCTTCCTGAGTGCTGGGATGACAGGTGTACACCACTACACCCAGCAAGAAGTGTTTTCTCTAAAAAAAATGTACACATACATGTATGTATATGTATACATGTATATACATATATACATATACATACACACACACAGCAGCAGCACTCTTATGTATATCTGTGTCTTGCTTTTTCCACATATCTAAAAGTTCTTAGAGCAGTTCCTGATAAATGCTAAAGAAATATTTATTAGCTGGGTATGGTGATGTATCCTTTCAATCCCAGCTACTTAGAAGGCTGAGGAAAAGAGGATTGCAAATTTGAAGCCAGCCTTGCGTAAAAGTTAAGAGTCTGTCTCAAAAAATAAAAAAGGGCTGGGATATAGCTTAGTGGTAGGGTGCTAGCATAGCATCTAAGAAATCCTAGGTGATCCTCCTGTCTCAGCTTCCCAAGTGCTGGAATCATAGGCATGTGCCATGACACCAAATAGTGCCCCAAAAAAGTTTATTGTTACTATTATTTGTGATTATCTCATTAGGATAGAATCTTGGAACTAGATAGAACTGCCGACCATTGTAATATATGTTGGTAATTGTTCAGTAACTTCAATCCATACCAGCATTATGCTCAGATGGCCTTTTTCCATCTAAAGAAACACTGAGACAGGCAATTTTCAAAGAGTCAAGCAGTGAAAGAAGGTATTTTGACTAAACAAGAAAATGAATATATTAGCCAGGTATGGTAGGGCATGCCTTTAATACCAGCTACTTCAAAGGCTGAGGCAAGTCTAGCCTGGTCAACTTAGTGAAACCCTGTTTCAAAAAACTAAAATGGGCTGGGGATCAACTCGGTAGTAGAGTGCCTCTGGGTTTACTCCCTAATATCATCACTAAAAAAATGTTATTAGTTAGGGTACATTAGCTCTTTTTTGTAATAGATAAAAGATTCATTTTACTTCACCAAAATAAGTATCTGCTAATTTTGAAATCTAATATCTTCATCATTTATGTAGCAGATAAAGTAAATATTAGACTTTATGTAGCTTAATTTTTGTTTTTTGAGACAGGGTCTCCCTATGTAGTTGAGACTGACCTGGAACTCACTATGCAGCCCAGGCTGGTCTCGAACTCACAGAGATCCTCCTGCCTCAGCCTCTCGAGTGCTGGGATTAGGGGTGTGCATCACCACTATGTAGTTTAATTTTGACAGCACTAAACTTTGGTGGTGGTGGGGAGTACTGGAGATTGAACTTAGAGCCTTACACTGAGCTATGTCATCATTCTTATTTTATTTTTTGTTTTAAGACTAGGTCTTACTAAATCATCCAGCTTTGCCTCAAACTTACTATCCTCCCGCCTTAGCCTGCCAAGTAGGTAGGACTACAGGCAGCACCACTGTACCAGTGACATTTAACTTTTTAATCAGGAAGGAAAAACTCTGACATATACTTATAGTGATAATTTCTTTACACAACAGATAACAATACAAAAAGACATTTACAGAAGAGAAAACACAAATAAATATTTAAGAAAATATTCAAGCCAGGCATGGTGGCACATGCCTATAATCTCAGCCCTTAAGAGGCTGAGTGAGGTAGAAGGAGTGCCAAGCTTGAGGCTAGACTGGGCTACAAAGTGAGTTCAAGGCCTGCCTGAACTATAAAGTGAGACACTGTCTCAAAAAAAAAAGAAAGAAAGAAAAAAGGAACACAACCTCATAATAAGCCAAGTACAAAATATTTCTCCCTCATCTAATTAGCAAATATATAAAATATATATTTGTGTGTATTTTACACTGAAATATGCATACATTTTTTTGGTACTGGGAATTGAACTCAGGTACTTGTGCTTGCCAGGCAGACGCTGCACTGCTGAGCTACATTCCGGGCCCTGAAATAAGCATTCTTAAACACCATAAGTAGGCTGGTCGTAACTTGAGGGCCCACTGTATTCATTATAATGAAAGTTTTTTAAAAATCTAAAATTTAATAAAATCAGAACTGTCAAACTACAGTATAAAGTTTAAAGTTATGTAAAGTATGTTACTAATCACAGTTTAAAAGTAGGTATAAGATTCAAAATTTCATATATAGTTTTGATTTTTTTCTTTAAAAATTTTTTTTGAAATAGGGTCTTGCCATGTATTCCAGTATGGCCTTCACTTGCTGTGTAGCATAGGCGGGGCTTGAACTCATAGCCACCCTTTCCCAGCCTCCCAGGGCTGGGAGTACAGCCATGCTTCATCACACTCAATTTTAGGGTAATCTTAAAAATGTTTCTACAAGTAAAAAGAAATATATAACGATGTTAAAATTATTAGTTTTTGGTGGTGGAATAATGGGTGAATCTATCCCTAGATATTTCATAATGTTATTTTCTGTATTTCCTATAAAGAGCATATATTACTTTTATAATAGTAATGGAATAAAATAGTATGGGGACAAGTCATTAGATGATCACTATGTTTTTTTCTGCATTCAAGGCAGAATTGTTACATCAGAGGTATGTAATGACTTACTTTTTCGTTTCCCAATATCCATGTCAGAGGTAGCAGCTTCACATAAAAGCACCATGCCTAAAGTAACCCCACCATCTTACAAATTGTTTAAGGAAAAATTCTCATAAATACAAAAGACATACCCCTTCACTCTTCCCAGTTTCTCATGAAGAAAATTAAAATGAAGAAATATATAAATCTGATTTGATAACCAATATGTAATTTGACACCAATTGTAATCAATATGTTGTAACCAACATGTAATCCAAAATATATACAGTGTAACAATTATTTACCACGAAGATATAATAAAATATTAAGATTGGAAGATTACTTCATTTGTACAAAGGAAAATTAGTATATGACTTTTTTTTGAGATTAGGGTCTTGCTAAGTAGTCCAGACTGGTCTTGAACTTGCCACAATCCTTCTGCCTCAGCCTCCTGAGTGCTGGGATTACAGATATGCACCACCACATCCGAGTAGGAAAATCAGTATTTCAAACTAACATCCTGTCTGTAATTTATAGATAAATACAAGGTTTTCTAAAATTGTACTTTGAAATAACCTGCTTGGACATTCAGCTATTGCCCCAACTTTGTACACATTTTAAAACACTAACAGCCATTTCAATATATCAATCCCCTCAAGAACACACTTGAAATATACACACTTTATTTTTTTTTCCTCATTGAGTTTATTGGTACATTTTAGGGAAATATCCACACTTTAAAGAGTAATTTATTCTTTTTTTTTTTGTACCAGGGATCAAACTCAGGATCTTGTGCTTGCCAGGCAGGCGCTATGCTGTGGAATTAAATCCCTGGCCCCGAAGAGTAACTTATTCATATTCAGGAAATAGTTTCTCAAACATTTCTTCAAGCCAGGTAAGATGGCACACACCTGTTTTGCAGCATCTTGGAAAGCTGAGGCAGGAGGATCACAAGCTCAAGCCCTGGGCAACTTAGTGAAACCCTGTCTCAAAATTAAAAAAATAAGGGTTGGAGATGTCACTCAGTGTGAAGGCTCTGGGTTCAACACTCAGTGCTACAAAAACAAAAACATCTAAAACACAAATTTAACACATCTGGAACCACTGAGCTAAATCCCTGGCCCTCCACAAACTTTCTTTTGGTGGTGGTGGGGACTGGAGATTGAACCCAGAGTCTTAAATACTACCACTGAGCTACACCCTCGGCTCAACAATCTTTAAGGCAGAAATTTACTTTGACCTAATTTTATCCTATTCTAATAAAAAGGAAAATTGAACATGTGCCAAGATCTCATTTATAATCGGTGTTATATGAGGAACTACAGAAATATAAAATTAAGCTACCCATGCAAAAAAGTGTCATATCACATGGTTTGAATGTTGAAATAAGCAGTATCAATTTTTTTGGCAGTACTGGGGATTTAACCCAGGGCCTTTGCACTGAGATACATACAGCCCTTCGCGGTTTGAGAGAGGGTCTCACTAATCTCTCCAGGCTGGTGGCAAACTTAACCTGCCTCTGCTTCCTTAACTGCTGGGATTACAGGTGTACACCACTATGTTCAGCAAACAATATCAAAATTTAGAGCAAATAGAATGTGTTCCAGCAGAAAAGAGAAATTCACCATGCAGCTCAGTGAATACCAACAGTAGTTAAAAAATGTCTTCAATTGCAAGCGTAAGGTCTTGAGCTCAATCCCTAGTACTCTCCTATAAAATGTCCTCAATTAATTATGCATACATACATACATAGTGTGCTACTGCATGTGGGTATAGTTAAGCAAAAAGAAAAACACAGCTATTTTATTTATTTTTTTGGTACTGGGGATCGAACTCGGGTCCTTACACTTGTGAGGCAGGCGGTGGAACCACTGAGCTAAATCCCTGGCCCTTGCACTTTCTTTTCAATAGCCTCTTCTTAGGGACAATGCCCATTCTTCATGTATTTAATTTTTCATCCAATCTCTTCCCTAGCATTTTTTTTCTGAGGTTCTTTATATCCAGGTTGGAACACAGACTGATCATTTCTACAAGCTTTGCTTACCAGGCACTCTGTGATTAATGGCTGAGACTTTTGTTTTGGGGACAGTTTATTTTGGTATCATTGTGTCAGTGGTGGCAAACCTATGGTATGCTTTCCAGAGTGGTTACGCAGAATCCTCTCTGTTGGCACATGAGCCAAGTTGTCCCAGCAGCTGAGCATTGGGTAATAGTTGTTCTTTTCTAAACTAAAACCTCAGCATTCAGATTTAATTGCAGTATTGGCACTTTGTAATAAGTAAGTGGGTTTTGGGTTGCAGTTTGGGCACTCAAAAGGTTCACCATTGCTAATCTATATGCTCTTTTCCCTCAGTGCTCATGCTTGGCACACTGTATCATGGAGCTATGCCCTACCCCCAATACATACTTTTGCTTTGAAAGAGTTTTTCATCTTACTGTATATTCGTAAGAGCTGTGTGTGCTCATCTCCACTGTCAAGAGCTCTGATATACTTCCACATGTATTGTTTCATTTCATTTATTTATTCTTCAGGTTTTTCTTCTCAGTCCTGGGGACTGAACCAAGGACCTCTGCACCAAGCTACATTGCCATCCCTTTCTATATTTTGAAACAGGGTCTGGCTAAGTCACCCAGCCTGGGCTTGGATTTGTGATCTTCCGGCATCAGCCTCCCACAGCAATTCTTTCAGTTTCTTCACTTACCCTGCCTACTATATTACAGGCAATACTAACTGTTGGGAGTTACAAAGTGGAACAAAATATAAACCCTTTTAAGTACAGATTAATACTCTCGTGGGGGATACAAACAATGAAATAAATAATTATATAATCATGATTATTACTCTGGGAGAATGGAATAAAGAATAGAGAAGGCAGAATTTCATAATATATAATAACTAGACTATTTAAGAGCCAGCAGAATTAAAATATATTATCTAAAATACAGGCAAAGATACGTGCATAAGATGTATAGGGTCCTAGAATTTAGCTCAGCAGCACAATACCCGTCTTGCAAGTTCAAGGTCCCTAATTCAATGCCTGGTACCAAAAATAAAATAAAATTAAATGAAGTATAATTACAAAACCAAAAATATTTGCATTTTTATTATCCAAATTTAAACAATGTCATATAATTTCTTTGCTTGTTGAATTAGCACTTTCAAAAAATGAGCATACATACCGATGGCTAGGACTTGCCAGGAATACCAGGGCACAAATATATTTCTGGTAGCAAAATCCTTTTGAGAAACAATTTAGACAGCACATAAACCATGCAGACAGCTTTGGACACTTTGTTTTGAATCTTCTGGGAATTTGGAAACATGCCAAATTATTTATTTGCTAGGAAACATTCTTTGTAATGTTCAATAAAAGTAGAATGGTAGGAGCCAGGTGTGGTGGCACGTGCCTGTAATCCCAGCACTCGGGAGGCTGAGGCAGGAGGCTTGCTGTGAGTTTGAGACCAGCCTGGGCTACATAGTGAGTTCCAGGTCAGCCTCAACTACATAGTGAGATCCTGTCTCCAAAAACCAAAAAAGTAGAATGGTAGGCATGTTGGGTGTAATCCCAGAACTCTCAGAGGCTGAGGCAGGAAGATTCTAAGTCCAGCGTGGGGAATTTAGCAACTTAAAACAACTTTCTCAAAATTTAAAATAAAAAAGGACTTAGTGTGAAGTATCACCAAAAAAATCACACAAAAAAATCACAAAAGTATCACAAAAAATAACAAAAAAGAGAATAATGGGATGATCATGTATCTATTATATAAATATCAAGAATGACTATTTTTCATTATATTTTCAGATTTCTCTGTAATCTTCCTGTATTTTTATTACTGTAAAGGCCATAAACAATACAGAAATGCTTACATTAAGACATCAAACTTCATACAAAGTATCTCTATTAATATAAAATGTACACCTTTCCATAAAACATACAATATGGCCAAAGAATTCAAGAGAGGGGTACAGCTGTGTGGTAAAGTGCTCACATGGCATGTGAAGCCCTGGTTTTGATTGCAACAAAAGAATAACAACAACAACAAAAAAAAACACCATGTGTCATGGCACATGCCTATAATCCCAGCTCAAGGATTACAAATTCAAGGCCAGCCTGGACCAAATAAGAGTATGTCTCAAACTCTCTCATGCCTCCAAAACAAAATGAAACAAAATGAAAAACCCCAAAACAAATGCTTAATATTTTTTCAGATTGTTTCCCTTCAAAACATTTCTAATGATTGATCTAATAAAACATAATTGAGAAAGATACACACACATATTGGTTTTGAAAAAAATTTTTTTTGCAGTCTTGGGGATTGAACCCACGACCTTCATACTGAGCTACCTCCCCACCTCTTTTTGTCACAACCTTCTGGCTGAGCATTACAACTGTAGGAACATTATCTTTGTTTACCTTATTTGTTCTAGAGTCATTGCTTATGTTTCAGGTGAGTAAACTGTTCTAAGTAACACAAATTCAGTATTCCCTAGGCAAAAATGTGTAGATCCTCAAGCGGTTCAGATTTTGGAGATTTTCAAATTTTGGATTAGTTTGAACATTCCCAATCCAGACTATTTGAAATCTGAAACATTTGGAATACTAGTGTCATGGTGACACATGCCTGTAATCCCAGCACTCAGGAGGTAGAGACAGGAGGCTCTCCGAGAGTTCTTGGCCAGCTTGGGCTACATAATGAGTTCAGGGACAGCCTGAACTACAAAGCCAGACCTTGTCTCAAAAACAAAAAAAACAAAACAAAAAAAAAAGTTTTTGATTTAGTCCCCTCTCAAAATGACACTGTGGTAATCATTAGCATATTTCAGCCTTACCAAGATCTAGAATCCAGATACTGAAAAAAAAAAAAAAAAAACTTGGTGAAGAAGAAAAGAGAAGGATGAAACTAACAGGGAAAATGACAAGTTAAAAAAGATGATCCATAGGGCCAGGGATTTAGCTCAGTGGCACCACATCTGTCTCACAAGCACAAGGTCCTGAGTTCGATCCCCAGTACCAAAAAAAAAAAAATCCATAGTGTAGAGAAAAGAAGCAAACAGTCTGAACACTCTCTCTGGCACTTGTGACTTGCAGGGAGGGGAACTGGGC